TCCCCCAACCCTTCCCCCTTGTTTTTTTTCCAAAAACCCTTGGGGGGAAAAATTCATTTTTGTTGCCTTTGTTTGGAATTAAATTAAAAAAAAACCCTTCCCTTTTCCCCCCCCCCTTTCCCCAGTCCCTAAGGGGTTCCCCCCCCCCCTAAAACCCCCCCCCCCCCCCCCCCCCCCCCCCTGTCTACTTCGGTTGTCACCTCGGCGTTAAACCTGAGCCTCCCGTGACGCCCGTACAGACCCAAGGCGTTTACGAAGATCATGGCGTACAGCAGCCGCCTGTAGGCGAACAGCGAGGCGGCCTGGAGGGGAAGCATGTACATCACCTGCGGGTACACGGGAGAGGGGGCAGCAAGGGTGCAGAGAGAGATGCTTGAACAGCTGTTGCGTGTCGTGTTGTGTGTCGGTCATCTTGACACGACAGAACATCGTCAATTCCTACTTTCAGAGGTGAGTATCACAGATGGTTTGCGCTGCTGTTGCTTGCACGTAATGACATAACTAAGCGACGGTGAACCAGGGTATAGGAATCGGTCCAAAGGACCGCAGAGCATTGTAGCCAAAGAAGGGCAGGGGGTGGGGGGAGGTGGGGACGGGGGACTGGGGATGGCATTTTCCGTCGTCGTCGTCTCTCGCTCTCTCTCGCTCACCCAGCTATCGACCAACAACTATCAATCAAAAGAGTGAAAAGAGATCACGACAACCACTGTAAAACCGTCATCATCAATCATCTCATCTCATCTCATCTCAGCTGCAGCAGCAGCAGCAGCAGCCGAGACAACAGCAGCAACACCGCCCAAAACACAACGGCAGCCCCCCCCCCGACCCCCCTCCAACCAGACATGTACCACACAGCAGTAAAAACAACTAGAAGCAACACTAGCTACATACCAGTCCTTCCTCGCTTACCCAGTTGGCTAGCAGGAACAAGCGCAGCCCGAACTGAAACGTCAGCGAGGGGTGGGCCCTGACGTACTCCGCCAGAGTCTCCCGAGGCCGCGCCGCCCGGCTGGCCGCCGCCTGCGCCGCGACGTGCTGCTTCTGCGCCTCCAACAGGTTCTTGCGGAGTTCCACGCTACCGGGTTCTCGCTCCAGCCCTAAGGAGACCGTTCCGCGGAAAGGGATCCTTGCTCATTTCTTCAGGGAGGGTTGGGGAAGAAGGCTGGGGCTACACCTATAATCAACTTGGTAGGCATCTATATTGCTCTGAACCACAAACTGTAGGCGAAGGTGGGGAAAAGACTGCGGAATTTGCATGTACAGGAGAGGAGTGAATGGCAGGGGGGCCTGGGGGGGGGTGAGAGGGCACGTTGGGAATGGAATAAACCCATGGGTTCATCAACGAACGCGCTAGAAACAAACACGGCGGATGCATCAGACGTACAGTACAGTTATCCGGATACGTGCGTTTGTACTCGCTCCAAAATACCCGTCAGGCCACAAAATCTCCATTCGAGACTCGCCTCGCCCCCGCCACGAGCATCGTTGCGTGTGGAGAAAACAGCGGCAGGCACCACAGAGGGATCTTGGAAGGAGAGACTCCAATCAACTCGCGATTGGAATTCGCCACGGCTGCGTTGTCGTACTTCGTATGGCGGAGCCGCTGATCATAGCCCCCCCCCGAGCATAGAGGCGGCATGACAACCCGGTACTAAACCTATTGTGTACCGACCCGGCACTAACCCTATGGTAGCCGCGTAAGAGTAAGGGACACTATCGACTCACCCTTGGAGTAGGCGGCGGCCGCCTTGTCGTGCCTCCCGAGGCGGAAGAGCGCGGTTCCCATCCTGGAGTAGCCCTTCGCCCAGGAAGGGTTGACCTCCACGCACCTCTCCGCGTCCATGAGTGCCTCCGTTGCCTTGTTCTGCCTGCAGCGTGTGCAATTAGCATGTTGGATTTAAGCAGAGGCGGCGTCCTGCCTCACAGAATTGATTTATCTTGACAACAACAACAACAACAACAGGTTGCTCCTAGTAGGCACCTACCCGTCTTCAACGAATGGGTGGCAAGGGGGGGGGGAGGCGTGGGGGACGGGCGCATCACGTAGAGCTGCGTAACCCCTTCCCCCCGATCCGAAATCGCTCAACAACATCGTCTGGAAAGAGGCGCAGCCAGCTTCTCCTCCACGCCGTCGATTCCGTCTCGAAAGAACCAACAGAAGTTTGTGCTCTCCGTATCTCTCGGTCAAGATGCGTCGTCCGCCATCCAAACGATCAACTTTATGCAATTGCCTACCGTAGGTGACGTAAGATATCACACCCCCTGGACCGTTTTTCAAAGCTCGATTACTCCTGTGGGCGATGCGCTTGCACGCACACGCATACCAACACGTATTCCAACCCTCCCCGCCCTGGCAAGTCCGAAAAGAGCATATACTTCCCCCTCCACTACCCGCTGCCTGTGTTGAAGGCTGTCTTACTTGAGAAAGGCTGCCGACCGGTTGCTGTAGTGAACGTGGAGCTGCCCGCTGGTGTTATCCATGTCTAGTTCGATCGCCTAAAGGGAACACGAAAGGGGAATCGAAGGGGGCACTGTGAAGAAACTCAGCGTAAGGCGGGAGGAATGCACACTCGACGCCATGCGGGTCCAAGGGCATTAGAACCTCAGAGAGCCCGCATCTCTACCAGCCCAGGGGAAGCAATACATCGGGTTTTCGCCCCACAGTGCAGGCGGTTGCGAAAGAGGGAGGCGAAGGTGAAACGGTTTCAGCGCCGCAGAACGGGAGGCACCCTCGAAATCTACGTCAACGAGTGTGGCTCAACGGGGGGTTCTTGTACCGACACCCCGACCAGGCCAGAGGCGCAAGGCGTAAGATGGCGTGCAACAACGACGTCAAGTGCTGACGTGTCTGCAAAGCTGTAACGTACACAGCCGAGTGCTGCTGGCAAAATTCTCTTGACGCCAGCCTCACTCACTCCGTTCCTCTATCTCTCTAATCTCCAACGTCCAATACGTATCTAGTCGGGTGCTGCAGAGAGACGGGTGAATGATAAACGTAAGAGACCCCCTTCCCTCTCTCCGTCAAACTCCTCCTTGGCACAGACATCGATTGCTGTAGGAAAGACCGACCTTCGAAAAACAGACGATGGCCCCATCAACATCGCCAGCCTTCCAAGCTTCCCCGCCTCTGGCCTTCGCCTCCTGCACGAGGAACCCGGAAAGTAGAACAAGACACACACACGCAATACGAGTTTTCATTGGTCAGGCGGTTAGCGCGGTCGATGCTGACTAAGAAAACGCAAGCGATTTGCTGTTGCGCACCCGGCACGCTCCGCAAAAGAAAAATGATTTCTGGGGCCTACCCACCTCATTAGGGGATCGAGGAACTTCATCAACCCCCAGAACAAACGACCCAGAGCATTTCGATGCATTCCTTGCGAAGCAGCCGGTGTCAGTGGGGAGCTTGTTGCGGTATGTAGAGCTGTCGGCGAGGCAGAAGCCAAGGAGTGCTGTTGTGCCCGAACGGAAAACACAAGGAAGGCTCCGTAATATTGGCTCCGCCAGACAAACGAAACGCGCTAATGTACAGAGTCAAGGTCACCCGGTTATTCTTGGTCAACAGCAGTGCCGCGAAATTTTGTACTCAGGGTACAGAGGGCACAGAGGGTACAGAGGGGTCCCTGTTTAGTGCCGGTTGAATAGTGCCAACACCCTGGTTTAGCGCCGGTGTTTTCGGCGGGCACGCACTGACTTTCCAAGTCATCGTCAGTAATTTGAATAGTAACGGTCCCGGTGTAGTACAAGTAGTGCCGGTGAATTTTCTGGGCAAATACCGTCACGGAACAGGCACCCCCTCTGTATTGCCGCAAAACAGGGAACCGCTAAACCGGGACCACGCCTGCTGTATTACAATTATAATGAGCCGCGGAGCGAGCGAAGCGAGCGACATTTTTTCCCTTCGTCCCCAGGAGGGAAAAAAAGGCTCTATATATCGGCCAAAGTTGCGCCGCGCGATACAGGGGCCCCAAAACTTGGTTTCCGGGAAGCCTATGTAGCACACCTTTGGGACCAGAACGAGATCTATAGGGCACCGATTGACGATCTGCTCGCTTGTGAGGAAGAAGAAAAATAGCGAGCTCTTCTCCACACCGGTTTCGTCGTGCTCCGAGAGCAGATGGCCGTGCTTCACCGGCATATGTAGCTTATATTCGTAGGGGATTTTGCCCCCCAACCCCAGGGTTTCTACGCGAAAAGGCGTGCACAAAAGCGGAGATCGCGCGCGCGATTCAGACCAGGACAAGAAACACCGACGGAGACGCAAGAACACCACCAACGAACGCATCACCGCTGAGACGCTGGTCTGAGACCATAGCAGCTATGAAAACCAGGAGGGGCCGGGCCTATACGACCTGTGCACCGTGGGTATACTGTAGGCATGCGCCATGTGTAACCTGGCGGGTATTTATTGATGTTGAGTGGGTCCAACCAACTCTGCTTCAAAAAGAGCAGACCGATTATCACACAAATAACACACCTTCCCAAGTCCAGATCACACCCACCATCATCGCCAGAATCCGTCGAGGGCGTGAGGGTCTACTACTGCTGCTGCAGTGCGTTATCAGGATGGTTCCCCGCGGGATCGGTTCAGATTGCGTACTTACGCCGCGCTACTGACAAGACAAGCCGTGCCCTGCGTGCTGTTGTTGCTGCTGCAGGGCTGCAGCAGGGCCTCTCGGCCTCTCGCATCAAAGTCATGACGTCACATGACCATCAACGGCTTTTTGTTGTTTTGGTTCATGCTGGACTGCTTGCTTCCACTTGGTTGGGCGAGACTCTCGGAAGGCTTGAGACGAATGTGGCGGGCAAGTTGTGAGCCTGACGCAATATTTGCCATCTGTCGTGTCGCAATCCTATGTCTACGCTGCTGGTCGTGCTCTTCGACGGTGTGATGTGTGATACGCTCGCCGCCAAGGGGGATGCCGCATGTAAATGTGCTTCTTCCAGATGCCCAGATGTGCATGTTGGCGTCCGCACAGCGGGAAGACTTCACATTTTGTTTCTTCGTGCATGTGCATCAAAACGGAAAGAAACAACCTCATGTAAATTGCAAAATTTTGAACGGTGGTCGCTTCCGTCGCACACCTGCTGTCCCTCTGTGGTGCACGCGTAGCTGCACCACAAACGATTCACGCTGGTGTGTGTCGGGATTCGTGCACCATCAGCATCGCAGATAAGACTACTGCAAGGTATTGAGTCGCACCACGCGGCTCATTACCCCCCCATACCTAGTATATACTTACGCCAGCTTCCTGCAAGTAAATTGCGCAGCAGTTTTCGATGGAAAGCGATGGTGTCTAAGACTAGCACAAGATAACTCGTCTTGGGAACAAGGAGCGCGTTGGTTCAAGATGAAAGATACAACGGCACCCTGGTTTTCGCCCCGGGAACTGCTGTCCTGTATTCAAGTTTGGATTTGGATACGGACGGTGGGCATCACATGGTGCAGAGGTAGACCGCCAATTGCACGAACACACGGTTGGCAGCTATCCTGCATCATGCCTTGGAGCATGTGGTCGACTGGGTCTGGTTCGTCCAAAGCTTGCCAGCAAGCCAGAGGCGTCGAGTACAACCCAGAATTAACAGCAGTACACAGAGTACGCGAAGAGTGCGGGCTGATTTTCCAGAAGATGGCGGAGATGCTGGTATGTACCATGGATTTGGGGGTTCAACGAATCAATACGGAGCTTGACGGCTGACCTCCGATGACAGGTGCATGTCACTGCATCGCCGAGACTGGTAACGAGCGGCGTATCATCCAGGACCACAATGATCTAGCAAGAGAGAGGAACCCTGCCGGCACACCGGTTGTCTGTGGTGCGCACTGCTGCAGAACTGGTGTACATGGAAGAACAGACCCACAGAGGCATGTAGCTCACGGAGTATAAAACTGCTGTGCATTGAAACGCGTCGTGCGATTACCACACATAGCACCATACACGTCGTCGATATTATTGTCGCGCACAGAGGCACACGTATCCCGCAAGCTACTGCTTTCGACTGCCGTGTATCGCGTATCCAAAGCAAATAGCGAACCAGTTGCGCCGACATCTTTCGAACCGGGTGGTACAATATCTCCGGGGTACAAATCTGCTCTTTGTTTGACACGCTACCAATGCAACCCACGATACACGTTGCTTACATCAGCTGTCGTCACGTCCTCACAGCTCATTCTTGCGCGCGTCGTGCTCTCTCCTCCCTGCGTCTTGTGTGTTCACTGCCTCGTTGCACGAGAGAGAAGGGTGGGGTGTGCAGGGCGGGACACGCTTTTACGTTGGGGGGCCATCAGAATGGCACCTTAAACGAGGTACCATGTATCATTCACGGAGCCCCCCGGACGACCTCTAACATGTACTTAACATTCATCATGACATGCATGTCATGTGGACTAGGAGTAGGCTGTAGCAGTGACTACAGCAGTACTGCTGTCACGACCACCCCATTGCTTGCAAGGTGGCCAGGACAAAGAACCTTCCAACGAGCCTTCAAGTCTGCACCATCGCGAGCTATACCATGCACATCTACCCTTAGCGCAGCCCGGTACTACAGGGCCTCGAGTGCGAGATTTTCATACTTACTTGTTGCTGCAGCGCCACGCGGGAGCAGTGGGCGGAGTGGCTTCGAGTGCAGCTGGAGCATGCTGCCGCCAGAGGGAATCTGGACCTCTCCAACTCATTGCTCAAAGCTGGAGCGAATGGGAGTGAGGGGTGGAGGGGGTGCCGCGGCTTAACTCTTATCGACGCAGCTGCTCTCTCGGTGGGAACGTCGATATCTTGTCTTCTTCCCTGCTCCGCACAGCTCAGCCGAACGTGAACGTGGTGTCGGTGGCCAGCAGGAGGTCTGCTCTCTACACGGCCACTTTGTGCGGCCACGAACACGCGGCCAGGCGCTTGGTTCTTGCCGGTGCTGATGTGAACTTTGAAGACCCTGTGCAGAAGAGCTCCGTCATGTACAAAGCTATGCTGCATGGGCACCACATACATACATGCTCGTGAACGACCTCTTCTTGCTGGCGGGATTGGATCTGAACTTGGGAACTGGATCGGGGGGGAATACACCCCTCCACCTGGCTGCTCTCGAAGGGATGGACGAGTTAGCGTCTAGCCTCTTGCTCAGGGAGGCGGACGAAGATGCTCTCAGCGTCCTAGGCAAGACACCGCTGATGCGTGCATCAAGGTGTGGGGTCACTTACTTGTCTGCCGTGCATAATACTCTGTTGGCTGCTGGTGCTTATGTCACTGCCGCGTGGACCCGCTCGGCCGGTCGGCCCTCGGATATACCGCTAAAGGTGGATACGTTGACGTGCTAGAAGCCATCATCGGACATGGGACAGACGTGAACCCCCGCGGCGATTTTGACGAGACCGCGCTTCACACCGCTGCTCGCCGCGACGGGGCGGGTGCCGTAAACGCACTGTTGATAGAGCGAACGATGGGACAACACCTCTCATGTCTGCGGCGTGGTTCAGCAGGAGGGATCCCGTCCTTGCCCTCTTGGAGCGCGGCGCTTCCTTGACCGGGGAAGACAGCGACGGAAATGCGGCGCTGCGCAATGTATGCCGTAAAAAGTACAAAGGCGTCGCCGTGGTGGTGGACCTCCTGTGACGATGGGGAGCGGACGAAAACGCACTGAACGCACAGAATATGAGCCCCGCCTACCTGCTCCAAGATGAGTACTTTGAGCAGGATCATGGGGTGTACAACCAACCTGGTTAGCCCTCAGCACCAACATCTTCTAGCCTTTGCAAGAATTGGCGACGACTGGGATCGATTCTACAAGCTTCGGAGCCACAAACTAAGCATGCATATGTTAGGTTAGCGGATATCGTCACCTGCACCTTTACACATCACCTATATCTCTGCACAAAATGTTTCAAAAAAGGTTGGGCCGACGCTGCAAACCTGCGCTGCTGTCGTGGTAAAGCAACTATCCGAAGCTCCGATGCCGATTCTGATGTGTGCTGGATACGCGCAACACATACGGTCGCACGCCAATCCTCAAAACGGAGCCTACGAAATACGCACAGTAAGGTGCACAGCATGACCTTCGAGCCGCTGTGTTTGCCATTTGCCGCCGCACTAAATAGGCAGGGAATCTTTCTCGTAGGTTAATCAAGGAATTTCCAAAAAAATGATGAACCGTTCGTGTCGACGCCTCCATCGCGGGTGAAACTACAGATATCTCTCGAAGAATAAGTGGAATGCACATCGTTGTGAAACAATAGATCTGCACGATGCGCACCACACCGGCAAAAAAACGGGCACACATGACCAGTTGTTGGGACTGATGCAAACGTCCGCTAAGGACGAGGCCAAGTTGTTCCGTCAATAATGCTGAAGCCGTCGGCTCCACCCGAGTATGTTCCAATGCAATAAAAAAATCTCGTCCGTGTGGAGGGTAAACTCGGGGGGAAATATCAGCGCGATATGCATAAATACATAAGACTTGCGTAGGTTCAGCTACTGTTCCCCATCCTCCTATCGTTGCCAACCCAACGTGTACACACGACGCACCAAGCCATACCTTTCCACTCCCCAAGCGCTTTCTTGCCGACAAGCTTCGTAAAATACAACGGTATGCCAGCACCCAAACCCACCCCGGCTGCACCGTCCTAGTTTGCTCAAGCCTCTAATCTTCCTGTCCTGCCCGACCCCGGCTTCAAGTTCGCATCAGAATTTGTAGCATTTCCCACGACTTGAGTGTCATCCTCCTGCTGTCGATACCTCGTTCTTCCAAGACACAGCTGCACCGTTCTGCAAGTCGCAAGAGAGCGACGTTCTCGTCCAGTAAATACTTTCTATGTCATCGTGTCCGATGAAGGCTCCCCCTTCGTGACTAAGTCGTCCTTCCCTAACTTTTCCTTCGGACCAACGGCGGCGCGCAAACGTCCTCCAGGAGTTGCGTGCTCCATACAAGCGCTCCGAATGTTGGGGGCGGGGGGGGGGGGGGGTGCACAGCCACCCATCAAGACCCCCAAAGGAGTCGATGGCGCGTCGTGTCCTGCGGGTCCAGCTTATCTATTCTCAGAACCCCCAGCACACTCTCGGGCAGTTCGCTTTCCAATTCTCCGTGCAGGATCAAGCCCACCTCCAGGGAAAGGCTCTTGGCGTGCTCTCGGCAGAGGGACGTAACCTGTTCGAGTTTCACGCGTGTGTTTCGTGACTTAGCATCGACCGCGCTTAACGGCTGATCCAACAGAAATCCCTCAGACTCATGTTCGGGCGTCAACGCGAACATGCTCTCATAGTCCGGGCGATCCCCGGCGGTGTGTGTGTGCACCGTTATCATAGCATGAACCGCGCTCAGCGGTTGACCAACGGCAATACGTCAGTCTACATATGGCAGGATGTAATCCCGAATCCCGAACACGCCTTCTATAGCCATCGGGCACCCGGGCAGGGGGGACCCCGGAGGAGACCGGGCGACAGGGTCCAGTCTCCGGGGTGAAATGTACTTGGAAAAGTAGAAGATTCGTCATCACGTTGCGGTATCTCCTTCTCTGTGTGTTTCTTTAAGTACCATCGACCGCCTAACCCGACCGGATGCCATGTGGTACTTGGAAACGGTGAAAAAAACGATCGCACGGCGTCCTTCTTGCTCACACCTGCGAAGATGCCGAAGAAGACGCCAGGTCCACGTCCACCTCCAGGTACCTCTCCCCGCGGAAATACCGTAGCGATGCCTGGAGTGTACACGGCGACACAAGGCGCGGTGCATAAACGCGGGGAACAGGAGGCATGTGTCTGCAAGCGCCATACCGACAGTATGGAAGACGGGAGCCAGCCCTGGTTCAGGGCGGCGACAAATGTGTGGCGACCAAGGACAACCGAACGAACTGCGTTGTGTACAACGTGCAGGTTTGACTAAAATGGAGAGATCAGGTAGCAAACCGTGCGTCGCCTTGCTGCATCGCTGCTGCTACAGGGACTGGCTCACCCGAACTAACAATATGCTGTGTCCTCCGACTCTGGTCAAAATTGACATTGTGATGTGATGCATCGTCGTGCTACTCAAGTCCACACCAAAGAAGCAGGTCGTCTTGAGCGACAACTGATGCAGGTTGCACGTCATCGTTGGTCCGAGGGGTGTATTTAGCACAAATGACAGGGAACATCCCAGCTCGTACACCGTCACAGGTTTAGGCTAGGCGCAACTTCTGAGTTACGGCCTTGTAAAACAGGGGATTAATCTTCCACATCCAGTCTTGGCTGGATTTCCTCCAGACCCAACCTACGCATACAAGTACCCAGCTAGATTTAACTCTTACGAGACCAATCGCGGCGGCAGTTCCCCGACCTTCAAATAAATGAGCAATAGTGGTCGGTGAAGAAAAATCAAAATCAACTGAAAGACCACGCCGCCTCATTCACGCATGCTGCTACCAGCCCAGCACGACAACCGTGATTTTTTCCCCCCGCCATTCGGTAGCCAACTCGTCAGCCAAACGAAATACGGGACAACTACACGGCTCTAAAGGAGATCACAACATATGAGACCCAACAACAATACGGCTGTACCAAAACACCCCACTCATCCGAGGTGCCCACCTCATGCCCCAGCAGAGAACTCCCGGACTCGGGCAGCGCCTCCGCCACCACCTGCGGACCGTCGAGCAGGCTCACCGCCAGCTTTATCTGCTGATCACCTTGCCCCGGCACCCCGTCTGCTGCTGCTTTCACGGTGCCGCTGCTGTCGTAGCGAGTACGTACGTGTGTTGTGCGGGTTAACGGGACCAAGGTATATTTCGCGGAACATGTTTACCGCTCAGAGGAGAAGCCGGAGCCGACCACGGGCGCGAATGGTTAGAATGAGAAACGCACTTTTCGTCCATCATTCTCCCCCATGCTTCCCTTTGAACAGAAACGACAGAAGAGAAAGGCCGCAACAACTCAAACAGGGGGGCGAAGAAACCCAACCACCCAATTTTTCCCAACCGGTTCTCACAAAAATAAAAACGGAAAAAAACCTCATGTGCACAGTGCCTTACCAGGAAACGAAAAAATAAAGGGGGTTTCTTGGTTTCTTGGTGGACAAACTTTTGCACCCGCGTCACGGTATCGCGAGTAACTTACCGCTGATTTCCGGCCGGTGTTTCCCCCGTTGAAACGTTGCCGATCTTGTTCTTATCGCCCCCGTTTGTCAAACCTGCAAACATGCCGAATACCAACACGGGAGGCACCACGCGTGGCACCAAAGGAACCAACGGGAACGTCGTCTTGACACCGTAGCCTGAGCACATTGTTGCCGCTGAATGTGGCGTAGTCCTTCCCGAGCAACAAAATCATGACATCAACAGCAGTGTTATGTTGTCGTCAAAAACAACGACCAACAACAGACAACATACGTCTCACATCACGAACATCCCCGCCAGGGAGCGCCAGCACCTCTCGGCGCTTACAGAACACCAATACCGCTACCACACCCCGACTCACCACCCCCACCACTCCGCCCTCCCACCCCCTCTAGCTCATCCCCGGAAGAATCACGGTCCGAATCTGACGTTTCCCACAGGTGCGAATCAGACGGCGTCAACGAACCGCTCGCGGTGGGGGACGCCACCGCTGCGCCCCCCCCCTCCCCGTCCGCGGCGCCCCCGCCTCCGGCCCTCGTCTCTCCTGACGACGGCCGTGGCGACGACAATGGGATATCCACCAGGCGGTAGAAGACCCCGAAAAACCTGCGGAGGGATTCGGGACTGTCAGGCCCCAGGCACTCGGGGTGCACCGCCCACGCTGCGACGAGGCTCAAAGGAGGATCGCCGGGGATCTGCGCGTAGGCGAGCGCAGCGGCGGCGGCGGCGGCGGCGGGGGGGTACTCATGTCTTGCATGCCACAGCGGTCAGATTATTGACGACGTGTCTTCAAGAAGACGGGGCACTGTTCCCACAAGACCGATCACCGATACCCAATTGTATTTCCGTGCTTTGCCAAATGTGGCTTTACAAAGTATGATTGGGGGGGGGGGCTTCACGCGTGTGGTTGGGTGCGATTTTCGCACGTTTTAAGGCAGGCGAGGGACGGGGAGACGGTGCTCGTGCTTACATCGATCAACACACGCGTTGGTGCGACGCGCTTCAATGGATGCTGTCTGCATGCGGGATTCCGAGATGATCACTGAAAGCTATACACACGCGGAGACTTATTCATACATATATGCCTATACTTACACCAGCACGGAATACCACCACGACAGAAGGCATGTTCGAGGTCAACCCACCATGTGCACAACCCAATTTACTGCCTTGCCAACCAGCAGTCGTTCCAGTGACCATGCGATTTTGTGGTATTGAAATATGGAAACCCGTGAAGCGGAGGCGGCGCCCACACCTGGAAGTTGAAGATAACCAGGAATGGCGGACCGAGCCTACTGCGGCCACCCTCCTCATCAACATCATCGTTACCCCCAGCATGACCCTCTCCCGCGTGCCCCCCCGATCTAGCCGTAAGCTCTGTGATCTTCGAAGCGCATCGCCCCTTGGTGGCGATGTGGTCCACTCTTCCGCTTGACGCACACGCCTCCTCTGCGACCGTCGCCGCCGGAACCTCGTGGGGTCGGTCGGCGCTGGCGAAAGTGAACAACTCGGCGTAGACGAGGGGGCACACGGCCGGTTCCGCCTGTACCTGGGACGCGGGGAAGGGGGGGCGTGGATCAGCAATGCCATCGCAACCAAAAGCAGACTAGACCAGGGAACAAAAATGGAGACGAGCTCAATGATAGCAGCAACATTGGGCTCCGCGGTGGAACGTAAGACGCTTTCCAAAAATGGGTATGTGCTTGCGTGCGTGTGCGCGCGCTCCGCCCGAAATCATCGAATCCAATCTTCGTGGTATATTGCTACTATCTCACGTAGGCAAGGTCCCCATCAAGATCATCACCAACCGTCTAAGCGCCTTCTGCGACGCCAACAACATCCTCCCGGAGGAACAGTGCGGATTTCGACCCGGGCGATCCACCGTCGACATGCTGTTCGTCGTGCGCCGCCTCCAGGAGCTGGGACGGAGAAAGAAAATACCGCTCTACATGTGCTTCGTCGGCTTGAAGAAGGCGTCTGGTTCGGTGGACCGAGAGATGCTATGGAAAGTGCTGGCCAGGGCCGGGATTCCCGCGAAGCTGATTATAGTCATCCGCCAATTCCACGATGGAATGCGGGCCCGGGTGCGCATGGACGACGGAGAACTATCGGACTGGTTCTTCGTGACACAGGGCATGCGACAAGGATGTGTGCTATCCCCACTGCTGTTCAACATCTTCTTCGCCGAGGTCCTCGAGGTCGTCGTTATCCGATTCAGCGAGGATGATGTTGTTCTGCGGAGCCTGGTGTGCTTGGAGGAGGGGAAGACGGAAGCGGGGGGGGCGGAGGAGACACCTCTTGACCGAGTACGGAGGGCAGTATGGGGGATGCTATATGCCAATGATGCCGGCGTCGTATCGAGGTCTGCAGAAGGACTGGCGAGAATGATGACCATCATCGTTGAGGTGTTCGGGGAGTTCGGCCTGACGGTATCGGAGAAGAAGACGGAGACACCTCCTGATGATGCGCGCGAGAAGGACAAGCCGACTACAACACCACAGCCCCCCCCCGCCTCCACCGCTCACCATCGAAGCCGCGGGACAGAAATACGCCCAGACGACCGAGTTCCGGTACCTCGGTGGCCTCGTCAACGAACATGGCGACCTCACCCGGGAGATCAGCTACAGGAGCAGAGGAGCGTGGGCGTGCCTCAGGCGATATGGCCGGGAGCTCTTCGACAGACCGAAAGCGCCATTCCGACCCAAGATCCGCCTCCTCCTGCCGGAGGCGATGGAGGCACTGCTGTACGGCTGCATGACATGGTTACCACTCAGCGGCCACTACCACGCTGCGGTCGATACACCATCGACTGCTCCTTCGAGTTATCGGGTACAAGCGCAAGAAAGACACCTACCGGCAGCTTTCCTACGCCCAGACGCTGAAGAGGGTCGGATGCCAGAGCGTTGAAGCCACGATCCGACAACGACGCCTGCTGTTCGCGGGAGCATTGGCAAGACAGCCGGACGGGCGACTCCCGAAACGACTGATGCTCAGCGAACTGGCGGGGGGGGAGAAGCGACGTAGGGGGGGACAGGAACAGAACTGGCCGAAGTGTGTGCTCGACGACCTGAAGGCATTCGGGGCCGACCACGGATCTACGAAAACGGATCCATGTTGTCTCGGAATCCCGGTACCGAAAGACACGGCACCGAAGTAAAAGTGGACGGAAGCCGCGAAGGTGGAGGGGGGAGTACCCTGGCATGCGGCGGTGCTGCAGGGAGCGGAGAGGTTCATGACCTCCTGGCACAAGAAGGAAGAAGAGGCCAGCCGATAACGAGCGCTCAAACGAGACCACAAGCCAACAACCGTAGGGGCGGGAGGGGGGCAGGAGACGAACGAGACGGCGAGGGAAGAAAGTAAACTTGAAGAGACGGACCGAGTGGCGTGATACGTGCCGGATTGAATTTCTTTTAGCCAATCCCCCCCCCCAACGCTGCGTTTTTTTTTGCGGTAACCATAATGGTGGTCGAGTAGATCATGTTGTGCGGGGCCGAGAACCCTCACTCCGCGCAAGGGGGATGATCGCACCACGTTGTGTTAAAATGGTCAAGCATCCTCGAGGCAGTTACACAGTGCTTACAACTGTCTCCGGAAGTGAAAGCACCAGAAAATAAAATAAGTCGTACGCAGCTGTCATCCGTACGCAAGCAAGTAAGCACAAGATGCCGAACACCCTTAGCAGGATGCAGCTCACCCTTCATGCGACTCGCCAAATACCTCACGGCGCTTCGCGCTTGGTGATGTGAGAGCCTGGTCCGGTGAGAACCCGGCGTGCTCCGTCCCGGCTTTGTAGGGATGCGAGGTCAATGGTCTAACGACTACGGCATGCACGACTATGAGTACACCCCCCCCCAACGCTGCACCATTGCACCAACCCCCCACTAGTGATGACGTACCATTACCACGTATCGCTGGTTGGTGGCCATTTTTGCGTGTTTGCTTGTTCGTTCGTTAGTGGTCTTTCCACCGTGTGCCTTATTCTGTCTCTTATTTCTTGTTATTTTCGGCCTGGTCTCTTTTTGTCATCGCTCTTTTTCGTTTTCTTTTCTCTTTTCTTCCTGTTTCCTTTTATTTTTTTCTCTTTTTCTCTTTTTTCTCTTTGTCGCACTTTTTTCTCTCTTTTTCTGTGTCAGATGGCCTTGTCTCTGCTTGCGTGTGAAGCACCAAGATTGAACCAAGGGGGTGTACCTCGTTCTCTTTGGCCCGTGACGCTGACTCCTAGTCTCAGTTGTTACCTCGCATAGCGCGCAGAGGGAGCGGAGGACCCCAGAATATCTGTCGTTGATTTCTATTGAATTGCGGACCCCTCGGGGCCAATTTGTTTGAGCGTACCTTCTTAGGGTAAGTTAGCCTGCGACCACGGGAATCGACCGCGTCAAGTGTTGGATCAGTACGGATATATGAAGGTACTGGGTAGAGAGAGATCGGAACAGTTTTCAATGTGAAGACAACAACAACAACAACAATTGCCAAGAACTGCGACGCGAGAAGAGTCTGAACGAATACCCTCACCCAGGAGGAAGCATCCGCGAGGTACATTATCCCCCTTGTGTGTTGCTTGCTTAACATGACAGCAATCAATTGGCAGCTTCATTCACACCATTCCCCTCGAAAAAAGTCCAGCAGAAGCACAGTAGAGAGAGCGAGCTCACTCGCTCTTGCAAGCGGTGGCACAGAGTCGAATGCCACAAAAAAAAAGGCGCTATCATAGCGAGTGCTCACACACACACACCCGTAGGCGCGGAGGAGTTGTGGCGCATCGTGCACATACAAGTACATCGTACATCGTACCATACAACCACACAGGGACACCATCCTAGCGCTCACGAACACACCCGTAGGCGCGGAGGAGCTGGAGCGAATCGTACACAAAGCGCATCGCACACAAAAAAAACAAAAAGAAGCGACATGGGGCACACACAGGCTCTCACCTCCCGACCATCGGCCAAGAAGGACGCGCCCCTGACCCTGAAGCGGTGCCCGTCGCCGCCATCCTTGACGCCGGCGAGCAGTTCGACTCCGCCGCCACTGCCGCCGCCAGCGTCGCCACTTCGCGCCGCTCTTCCCGAAAGATCGACCCTGTTCCTCCCTCCGTTCTCCAGGCCGCCGGCAACAGCCGCGACAGTAGCAGCAGCAGCAGCGTCAGCGGCCCCGCTCTCTTGGTGCGGAACATCGCCGGGCACGGTCCCCGCTGCCCTTCTCGCCTCCCCCCCGTCCGCGTGGCCGGAAACGGACGGCCGTCCATCGAGCAACGCGGCGGCGCCGCCGCCGCCGGTCTCCTGTGGTGCGACTGTCACCGTCTCGGCATCGGGCCTTGGCCGGAGAATGGCGCCGGCGCTGGTATAGCTCTGCACTCCACCGCCGCCGCCGTTTCCGCCGGTCTTGGCCGTCGGCCGCTTCCAAAGGTAGCTCTTCCGGCGAGGGGAGAGGCCGCTGGCGCCGCCACCGCCGCTGCTGCTCGTTTCGCCTCCGCCGCTGCTTCCGATGCCGGCGCCCCCGCTGCTGCTGACGCCGCCGCTGTCGTCGATCCCGTCGTGGGCCTGCCAAGTCAAGCCGTCCATCTCGCCGTCACCGCCGCCGCGGCCGGCACTCACCGACCCCGCGCCGCCGTTGCCGTTGCCGTTGCCGAGGTGTGCGCCGGAGAATATGTCGGCCATTGACCCACCCGCATCCTCCGAGAAGTCGTTGTTGCTGCGCCGGGTGGATGAGCGCTTGTACGGGTTGTACTTGGTGGGAAACTTTGGAACTCCCTGTGGGAGGGCAGGAGAGAGAGGGCAGATGGATTTCAAAAACCAATGTATAATAAACGCCACACGTATGACCAGGTCTGATACACGTCAAACATGCGCCGAAAAGTGTGTAGACTGGCGCCAGAATGGATGGCACGAACACAAGTTCAAGCTACCGGTTTTGTCTTTCATCCGGTGAGTAGCTTAGCCTCCCCCCATGATTCCCCCTAACGGGGTCCCAGATCATGGCCTATAGAAGCATTTATGCTTTCACCGCACTGAGACTGTCATTGCATTGTTCAGTCGGTTCGCGCGGTCGATGTTATTTGGTAGTAAAACAACACACGCAGACACAGACACACAGCGAACATTTTGTGCATTTGCTTGTTGTAGGGTTGACGATGGTGAAATCTCTACATATTAGGGCGGATTTGGTGCGGAGATCCTAGTCTTTGGTCGCCTGCACGTCTTGTAGTAACCCTGCGGGGATCTCTGAATCCACCATATAAAGGCCCTTTTTCTCGACCTGTGCTTTGGGTGACACTGGGAGGAGTCCACAATCGCGATGGGCTTGTGACACTGGCGTAGTGTTTTGAGGATGACGCGAACGATCAGGTTATGAAGGAACGTTGAGGCGCCGGTCTTGCTGCAGACGAGGGAGTGGGGGCGGCTCAAGTGTTCATTTCTCTCCCAACTCAACAGAAGATATTGCTCGAGGATGCGGGCCTTGAAAGATAGATTCGTCATCCCCCCAGGTCTACGTGAAAGTGAAAAGGACGGGGATTGCACTCTCCACCACCAAATTGGTCCTAATAGGTGTCACCATGATCAACCCTGCAGCCAGCAGGAGCGTCGACAACTCGAAGCAAAACACCATCACGATGAGGGAGCATCTAGTGAAACGGCAAGCCAATACGCGGGAACTTTCAACCCATCTACAATGTAGCTTTCCTCTCCACGTACAGCCGTCATGCGAAAGGCGCCCATCGTTTGACCGTAGCTCAAAGGCACCAACGTTTGATCGTCGCCACCACAAACCATCTGGCCTATAAACGAATAATACGAATTCTGGCAACGAGCCAACCTTCGTCTGCCTTTAGTTCGGAGGCAGTCTAACTTCGAGCTCGTTCGTTGCCTATCAGTGCGAACTCTCATGTCTCTAGGAAACCATGGGATAAAGATCGTCAAAATCTCAGCTAAGGCAACTGGGAAAAAAAGGTGGAAACTTAGAAGCCATCGGATAAAGATCGACAAAATCTCACAAAGGCAGCTGGTTCGGATCCCATAGGCGATGGAAAAGACGGTGGAAACTACCGCGATGGTCATGCAGTGGTGAATGGAAGAGGAAGAGATAACTCCCAGGGAAGGTGGCGATGAGGACGTGCTGACGAGAAGGAGCGTGGTGATGATGGCACGGAGTAGATTAGCAGTAATAGTACAAACGAACGAAAGGTAAATGGAGGAGGAGAGAGGGATGGAAACAACAACGAAGAAGGAGGAGGTGGTGTGGAAGAGAGCAGACCCAGAACATCTTCCACACAAAACGAACGCCGGAGGGACAGAGAGCTGTCCAAAGTACAATAGTCAGGAGAGCAGCGAGCACAAGGGGGTGGTAGAACCGGGACCAATACGCCGAGGGGGCCAAAGCGACCACGAGCAAAAGTGGACTAGGTAGACATGTGCATTTTCCCTGTTCTGCTACCGTTTTTGTCTGTGATCTGAAGAATACCCTAAAACCTCAACCACGACCCCCCCCTCGCGGGGTCCCAGATCGCGGTCTTTACAAGTGCTTCCCCCGTTTGGCGGCACTTGAAACCGACGCCTTTTGATTGGTCAGCCAGTTAGGTTGTTCGATGTTACTAACAAGAAAGACAAACCATTTAAACTTGTGGTAAAGTTCTGGTAGCAACGCAGAGACGTGACTGGAAGGGGAGGGGACAACGTAAGGCAAACCCTCACCTTTGGAATGGGTATGTGCCGCTGAATCGCCTTCGGGTTGGGCATGGACATGGGCACGTGGCGCGCGATCCGTCGAGTGCCGGTCATGACGGCGTTCTTCATGTAGTGCATGCTCTTCCGCCCTGCAAGAACCGCCACACGCGGGAGAGGGAAACAATGTTATCGGGGTCGCACAATAAAGAGGCAGGGAGGGCGGGAGGGGGGAGGGGAACGACCAGAAACGATGATTGCACTAAACTTAACATCTTAGAGCAGACGCTCAACCGAGACAGAGCACCGCTTCATACTAATACAGCACCATTCCTATCAGGTGACCTCTAACGCTCAACTGTTTTTCTCTCAGAGATGTACTTCTAACCCTCGAATACTCCGGACTCGACATTCGCCGAATATGACGCCGTTAACCTTATCCGACGTGTGCACTGCGCGCTCCGTCTTCGTGTCCAACTCTCATCTCATCTCCGAAAACAGCCACACATCTGCTGCACTTGCATCTATTTAGAACGTCAACCCCCCGTCATACGCTTCTAACTCCCACGGGTCGCCGTGAAAGTAATCTCTTTCGAAGGTGCGCAAGTCTCTTTCTGGTGCCTTTGCTCACCCTCTCGCAAGCTTGGGTCTGGTTGTCGAGTGCGCCTGTATTTCAAATCAACAACAACAAAAACGACGACAACGCACCAGAATTCCTTGGCGAGATCCCGAGCGGGGACCTAGGCGGAGACTCCGTCGCCAACCCCCCCTCAATCACCACGCCCTCCGTATCCCAACCGACGGCCCCCGCCGCCTCGCTCACACCACTACCACGATCGTCTGCGTCTTCTTCTTCATCGCTGCTCGCTGACGTGTCACCGTCTTCCTCTTGCGGGGGTAGGGGTTCGGGGGAGCCTTCACCCCCTCCCCCTTCTACAGCACTATCCGCCGCCCCCCCTACCCTGGTCGTGGCCACCGGCGCCGGCGCCGCATGCGCCGCGGGAGCGCTGGGAGAAGACCGGGCGCGCGAGCCAGGAGGGGTGGAATCGCTAC